TAGTACCAAGCAACAGGTTTGGGCCTCTTATGCCCATCCACTCCTCTTTGAATCTGACACCTATGTCACCTCTCAGATCCTCAAATGTACCTGAATACTTGATTCAAACTCCTCCTCAAAGTCCAATACAAACTCCAAGTCCGGCGTTTTCCCCTGCAACATACTCAAATAAGCAAACTTCTACCTCTACCAAATCAGTCTATATAGACACAACCTTCTTATCAGATATACCTATTTCTGATACCCATGCACAACTTAACCCAAATAAAATATCTCCCCTTTATTTTGTAAACCACCTAAATCCATCATACGGAGTCAAAACCCGTGAATGATATGAAACTATTCTTATGGAAACTGGTTCGGTTTCAATTGTCCATTTTTATAAAGGTACAACTAAAGTATATGCTTACTCCAAATTTCAAATTAAAAAATTACTTTCTTATGATGATTGGGGATGCAATCCTCTTCAAGGGAAAAAATTATTGAATCCAGAATTCCAATATAAATATTATAAATATGCTGAGTACATTGACGCATGGCACAAAGTATTCTCCTACCGGAATCCAAATAATACTCATTCTTGGTATTTGCAATTCAAACTCCCTATTCTTGAAAGATTCCCAAGTTGGTTCCGCCATTGGTTCTTATTATGAGGATCACGGACCCAAATTCTAGCTGATGCTTTCCAAGCCTTACAGACAAAATTTGCACAACATAGTACTTGTACTGACCTAGATGATTTCCATGTCTACTTCATGGCTATCTACCAAATACCTTGGATCCTAAAATGGGATTACTCTATTTCTGAAAATAATACTAATTATGAGTATATTCTCAAACTCGGCAAAACCCTTAAAATCAAATGGTGGGATATTTTCAGTACTAATCCTGCCTCCTTACCCCTTAAACGAATACCTCATCAAACCAATGTATTCAACCCACCAGCATATAATACAGTCAATTTACCCACATTTTCGGCCTATCTAAAGAAAATGAAACAAGCACATCCTAATGCTACCTTAGAAGAACTAGAGCAAAATCTTCTCCATATATTTGCTTCCGATACTACTGCACCAACAACATCAGAAGAAACTGTCCAATCAGGCAATCCCTTATTTGACGACTTCAGCCAAAGACCCGATGCTTAACCCGGCCAGACAGCCTGGCCCGATATGATCCAATATGATCTCCAGACAGATACCTCCATAGTTCGATGATATGACCGCAGATGCCTCTACAGTTCGATGATATGACCTCACCATCATAAAAGAAGATGCCTCTACAGTTCGACACAACCTCACCAGCATAAAGCAGATGCCTCGACAAGAAGATTCCCTTCTTTATAAGTGACAAGACATCCCCAATAGTAAAGATGCCATTTGTTCCTATGCAGATTGATGTGACTAATTTCGAGTCAAATCACAGACTTACGTGTCTTCTTCTCCTTCTTCGTTGCTCGTACGTACCGCTCCCACGAACGCACCAAAGATTCTCCATCACATCCATCTTTGTCACCGACATCCTGCTATCTCCTGCACCTGCCACGTATCCCTCTCCAGTGGACACCTTATCTTTTCATCATAGCTGGAATTCCTTCGTCTTTACGCAAGCCCCTCGCAGCCACAAGGATTCCTTCGTCGCTACGTTATCCTCTCTTAGCCACATGTCCTCCTTCGACTTTCATCTATAAATAGCCACCTGCTCAGTTGAAGAAGGCAGACTGCAAAAAAGGACGCAACAAAGCAGCAGCAGAAATTCTCAAGCTCTCATATTCCCATATTTTCTCTCTTTCTGTAGTTTCCTCTTCTTCTCTCTTTCTATAGACAGTATGTTAGTCATCTACATTCAACCATTTGTATATCATCAAAGTCGGTAACTTCCATATGCCCTCTTTATTTTAGAATGTGTGATTGTAATCTATCTTCTTTACCCTCCTACTATCTTCTGAGTGGAAAAAGTTTGCCAGTCTCTGTATATGTAATCAGTAAGTTATGCAATTTAAATTTGTTTTTACATTCAAAATCCGTGAGTATACTCATACTTCGTGGATCATATTTGATATATCCTGGCTTGCTGTTTTAATTATCATATTTATGTTTCTGTATTATGTTACTATTCTGCAACAATTAATTATTTATAACTCTGTAATCTTTTCATATTTAAGATAAGTATTGGTAACAGCTTTAGGGTAGATATATATATATATATATGATGAAAAAATGATGAGATTAGCCTACTAGCTCATATGAACATATGAGCCCAACGACCCATATTGAATCTGGGCCGATCTGAAAATCACGGCTTCATTTCATATTTGAATTTTAATTTTTTTTATACAAATCTAAATAACTTGAAATTTTATGCGTATATTCTTCAAAAATATAAAAATCTATTAAAAATATCAAAAACGTAATTTGCAAGAAATAAATTGATCAAAATACCCTTAATTTGAAATTTGATATCTTGGATGTGTCACAAAATTCGAGAAAATTTCTTTTGAAGGTTGAGCATGGTCAAAGGAATAACTGTAGCTACCAAACTTTACATCCAATGGCTAAAATTATTGTGACCGGCTTGTATAAAAGGTAAATGGTCTCATTTTATATTTTCCCTATTCACACACGCACATGTGCCTCATCCAATGGACAAGATTACATCTAGGTTATTGGATGGTCTACATTTTTAAAAAAATATATATATTTTTTGCAAAATTTGAGTTGTGGCCACATAAAACATTGGCTCACCCAACAAAAATGAAAGAAAAATATTTTAAAAAATGATCAAAATACTCCTAAAAGTTTTGATGGTGTTTTGGTCCACTATATTATTTGAAACTTTTTTATATTTCTTTTATTGGGTGCAACTAATTTTGAGGTAGAGATGCGTCAAATTTCATGTAAATATCATTTTTAGAAACGATTTAAAATACCATTTGGCTGGTCCAACCTGGCCCGGCCCTATGGAGACTATGGCCGGGCTAGCCCAGCCCAGGCCTGACCCGTTGCCATGCCATGGCCAAATTAAGAACTTGACGATTTACAATGCTACGTCCTAAACTCAATTCCTACCAAATGCTGGGCCTCTTCCAACTAACTCACCAAAAAAAAAAAAAACAAATCCCATGGCCAAATTTGCATTACAATTCCCTAGCTGAATCCACGTTTTGCGCCCAGCAAAATGGAAGGACATTGAAGCGCTGTTCTAAAAAGGAACCGGCGATTTTGCGTTTTGGGCCCAGCAAAATGGAAGGACATTGAAGCGCAGTTCTAGAAAGGAACCGGCGTTTCGCACAAGAACTCTGGCCCGGTTCGCACAATAAATATCGCCCGGAGTGTGCTCACGATATTCACACGCTTCGTGTAATTTCATTGCTTCGCACATGCTATGAAGAATGAGTACAAAGAACTATTTATGCATATAAATTTGCTTCTCTCTCTTCGATGTGGGACTATGTGAATAGGTAATACTTTAAAATGTTCATATATTATATATTTTGTTAACTATTTTATAAACACTAAGTTGCAAGTGCCCTATTGGTTATTGTGTGTCCTCAATGTGAGACAGATGCGGGTTTGATTCTTGAGCTGGTTTTTTTGTCAAATTATTTTCTTATCCAAAAAATAAAAGGTTTTTATCAATTTCACTTGTTGTCAAATTTTTTTCCTATCAATAAAATAAAAATTTTCGTATAAAATAATGAAATTTTTTGTCAAATTTTTTTCTTATAAAAAAAATTAAAGGCTTTTTCTAAAAAATAAAAATAAAAATAAAAATAAAAATAAAAGGTTTTTATCAATTTTCTTTTTGTCAATTTTCTTTCTTATCTACAACATAAAAAATTTCGTATAAACAAAATGAAAGGTTCTTATCAAAAAAAATAAAAGGTTTTTGTCAAAAAAAATAAAAAATAAAAAGTTATTGTCAAAAAAATAAAAAGTTCTTATGAAAAAAAATACAAGTATTTTTCTCAAAAAAAAATCATTTCTTATTTTTTTCAAAAATACAACAAGTATTTTTGTTAAAATAAGTTCATACGGAGAAAAAAACTAAATATTCACATATTAATGAAAAAAATAAAAATTAATAATGTAGTAGTATTCTAATTTCTTATTGGATTCTTAAAAAACAACATTTATAATGAATTTTAATAATTATTTTAGATTTTTTTAAAACTTAATTTGACCGATTCAGTTGATTTTCGATCCAAATCGCCGATTCACCAATTCGAATGGGTTTTTTGGGTGCCCGACTTGAGTCACCCATATATTTTTTAAATCACTGGAATCGACTATTCATAGAGAAAAAAAAAAGAAGGAAAGGACGCCATTTTTTTTTAGTTTGAATGCTAAGGGAAAGGACACCGAGCTGCTATATTGGAGATTCGGCTCAAGTGTCTCAAAAATGGGGCCAAATGTCATCATTGTCCAAAATTATTTAATTGATCACTTTAGTTTTTCATTATTTAGGATATAATTTCTATAAAGCCTAGGCTTTATGGAAATAAAGTAAAGCCTCGCCTCGTATCCTCATCTTGAAATGAAAGCACATGGTATATCAAAAAGTTTTGTGGTGGTTTTAAAATTAATTTTTAATACCAATTATAAAATCTAAATATCAGTGGACGTTTAGTTTTAGGATAAAGTAGATGGTTTAGATAATGTGTTATAATATACACTACTTTTACTGTTTAAAATCCTAATTTTTTCCACAACCGTGCGAAGATGATCAATTTGAAAGTTTTTCGATACTAGAAGTACAATTTTTGGTTAGTTTTGAGATAACGCTTTACTTATTTTGGAAAAAGTTTTGAAATGACGCTTTATTTATTTTGATAGTCTATGAAAACATTTTCCTGTTTTACTTCCCAAAAACACATTTTCCTATTTTGTTTTAAAATTAAGAAAGAAACCGTACTAACGAAATAAAGAAAGTCACAAAACCTGGCATAGTGAGTATCGCCCCTGTTTCGGCCGTTGAAACTTTCCTACCCACTCAACATATCCGTTTTCCTCCTGTCGTTACACACACCACCTGAGAAAAGCGACACCAGCTCGCTTCCCATATATACCAGCCCAAAAATGGCAAACCTGCCATTACTGAGCTTACTATTTCTATTGTTTGAGCCTCGTCATTCACTTTCTCTCTCTGTAGACATGGGGGTGGAGGCTCCAAAGTCATTTCATGAGGCAGGAAACCTCCCTCTCTCTATCTACCTTCTCCGTGATTTCAAAACCTTCATTTTTGTCATCATGACCCACCTTTTTTTTATCTGAATCTCTTTAGGGGCAAGAGCGGGGTGAGTCTTGTCCCTGGCCCAGGCCTTGTCCCTGTATGGCCTGCTCAGGACCCTGTTAGGGATAGGGCCTGGGCCTGGGCCGTGCTGAAAAAACAAATAGAGAAAAAATAAAAGAAAGAAAAAAAGGCCAAGCCAGGCCGAATAGGGCTGACAGGGCCCTAAGCCAGCCCTCGGGCCATAGTTTGTGGCCTCTGCCTTACATTTTAGCGCTGGGCGGCCAGGCCTATTACTCTTGCTTCCGTGCTGCCTTCAAAAGTTTCATCATGGATCTCTCTCTCATGCTTCCTGTCAAATGCGTTTCTTATTTTTGGAATTGTAGCAGGAAGGTATCCAGGACGAACGGTTGGTGAGCAATGGCACTTTGGATTTTCGTGGTCGACAAGCAAATAAACAGAGAACTGGAGGATGGAAGGCTTCACCTTTTATTATTGGTGCAAAAAAGCCTCAAATATCTTCTTTTGTTCCCAAATTACATAAAAAAAAAGGACCAAAACCAATTGCTTCATGTGTCTTTCATTATTGTGTTTTTCAGACACCAATTCCTTGTTTCCTTTTCTTTATCCATCTACTTTTTGTTTTCTCTTTGAAAGAAGGGTTAGGTGTAGAGGAAAGGTGCACCTTCAAATTTTATAATGGTATATAATTTTGATATAAAATGTTATTAGGATTATCTCAAAATCTATTTTCATATCTAATTATAAACTTTTAAATTTAAAAACTGGTTAAAATCAAGTAGATCTATAAATATATGAAAATCTTGAAAATGGACCATGTAGATAATATGTTGTAAAATGCATTATTTCTGAGATTTAATTTTTTTTTATTTTTTATAGTCATACATTTCGAAGTCGAGATGATCAATCAAAGGGTTTTTCAACATTAAAACGACCTTTTCCGATGGATTTTTGAAAGGCATCCGTAATTCTACATTATGAGGTTGCATGATCATATAAACTTTTCCTTAAAAGAATAGGAATTGCAATGTGCTTATTATGCTCAATTTTCCGACATTTGATTGGGTTTGGGTGCAGTAAACGAAGTGGCAGAGAGATTGGCCTTCTTTTCAATTGCAGTGAGCATGGTGTCCTACTTGGTGTTCGAGATGCACGAGTCAATACCAACAGCAGCTACACTCGTCAATGACTGGGTCGGTGCGGCCTACGTGTTGACCCTTCTCGGAGCATTTCTGTCAGATGCATACCTAGGCCGCTTCTTGACCGTCATTCTCTTCTCTTGTATCTATGCTGTAGTAAGTATTATTATTGCTACACTCACAAACAAAAACAGTATTATTATTGTTAATTTATATAGTAATCGAACTTGAAATGTAGCATTATTAATGTCAACTGCTACCCACTAATGGCCAAACCTAATTCCTATAGGAAGTATTCCTTTTTTATCCTTATTCTTCTTGGACTGCTTATTTGTCACATAAGGCGATCAAACAAGTGCAAGGTAATTGAACATAGCGTAGTGTCTAAAGTTCATGACTATCTTTTCTACATCAATTTCAAAGAAAATGAATGAACGGATCGACTTATTATCAACTCAGCAGAGAGAGTGGAGAAATTAAGGACATTAGGTTCAAGCAAATATGTCGACCAGAGCTTAGTGGTTGGAATCTCGAGCCTGTGGATCCAAACTGATCTTACTTATGCAATAAACAGAGAGTGAATCTAAAATCACACCATTCGCGTTTGGTACAAAATGGTCACAATCAGACATAGTCATGAAATGTGAAATCTGGCAGTAGGGAATGTGTCATTCGCTGTATCTAAAGTTCGAGAAAAATTTTCTTAAATTCGTCCAAATATGATAACTGCCAATTTCACATCTGGTGGTTAGGTGTACCTGTGAACTTCTTGCATAAAAAGTAGTAGTTCTTGTAGTATAGAATCCCGTAATTATAATCACATGTTGTTTCAGATAGTTATTGAGTGATGATCCCAAGTAACAGAGTTGTCAACTAAAGCGATTAGTTTGTTAAGCATTAGTAGATCATGTAAGCTGATTCGCCCATTCGATGTTATACAATCTTGGATGGATTAAACTCAAGCAAAACATAAGTACATGAGACTTTCCACACTGGAAAAAGCACTCTCAAACTGGCTTCAGAACAGTGAAAAGCCTTATGGAACTTGTGCTTAAGCTGGGGTAATGTTTAATGTGCAGGGAATGGTAATGTTGACCCTATCAGCATCTCTAAGTGGACTTCGCCCTCCGGCATGTGCAGGCCTTGGGCCCGGTTGTGACCCCCCAACCAGTGCTCAAAGTGGGTTCCTATATGCTGCACTAGGGCTCATAGCACTAGGTACGGGAGGGATCAAGCCATGTGTTTCATCATTTGGGGCAGACCAATTCGATGAGAATGATAAGTCGGAGATGACAAGGAAATACTCCTTTTTCAATTGGTTCTTCTTTGCCATCAACATGGGCGCACTAATGGGAATAACAGTCATGGTCTATGTTCAAGTTACGAAAGGCTGGGTTTTTGGCTTCGCCGTGCCCACTGCTCTTGTCGTGCTATCTGTTGTGACCCTGGCCTTGGGTGCACCACTATATAGGTTCCAGAAGCCCACAGGGAGTGCTTTCAGTCGCTTCTTGCAAGTCTTGGTAGCCTCTGTGAGGAACCACCTGCGTGGCATCGTCATTAAGGAGGATACCATCTTGTATGAGGTGGAGACACCGGTTTCTGCTATACCTGGTGTTCAGAAGCTCCCACACACAAGACAATACAGGTAATTCTAGATTTCTTGATGACCCCTCACCATTTGCACAAGGGAAAGTAAATGGCACAAGTCCGCCTCAAATTTTCGAAGAATTGAGGGCCCAAAACGCATCCTATACACATGCATGTCGATTTCTGCCCTAAGAAATTGGATTGGTTGTTCCTAAAATGGTGCAAATCTGAACAATCTTGGATCGATTGAAATGCAAATCTGATAGGTCTTAGATAGCACAGTTTCAAAGAAAAAAAGAGGTAGCAATTCCAGAATATTCACTAACATACAAATTGAATTTGATGAGTTAGAATTTCACAAGAACATTTATTTCCTTTTGTTAGGCTACACCACATAAGTGCAAAACTACACTACATGGCTAAGGACTGTGCAAAAAACACAAGACTATGTAGAAATAGGATAAGTATGCTAGGAACCTGGTAAAAGCATGTGCACAAGTTCATGTCTGGTTTAGATGGGTCTAGCCTTCACCATCACAGTTCCTCTTTTTAAATTGTCATTGCTGGCCCTAAGGACTACGATTATTCATACATTGCTGCATTGGATGGCAATTACCTAATGGACTCTGTTTTCTCCATCACCCAATCAATGATGGTAGATAATCTCCAATACAATTCGAAACCAAAGAGTGAAGAATGGCCGTCGAAAACCTGGGCAAGGTTTCCTTTCTCTTAAAAACTACAAACTCTATGTGTTCGCCATATTAATCCGTCTAGAATAAGGCTCCTGTCCATTTTCCCCATTTTTTATTAATTAAGGCACAAACTAGCAATACATCAAGAAATGGGATTGTACACTATAAGACCATTTAAATATAGTACAAGAAGGTTACTATGGATCAATGCCATCAGATGTGAAGTGATGTGGTAGAAGTGTATCGCAAAGTTTTGAAAAAATATTTCTGAACTAAAAGCACAATCAATGGAACATCTCTAACCGCACATTAAATGGCTAAGAGTGATTTTGAGATTCATGTAAAACGAGTCGTCTTATCATACACTTTTCATTATATTACCTAACGCGAGATATGGGGAGAGTACGCAGGTTCTTGGACAAGGCTGCAGTGTCAAGGTCAGGAGAAGAGCAAAGGAGGAGCAGCAACAAATGGAACCTATGCACAGTGACCCAAGTAGAGGAGCTCAAGTCACTAGTGAGAGTCCTCCCTATCTGGGCCTCCACCATCGCCCTTTCCCTCTCCTTCTCGCAACTCTCCACCTTCTTCATTGTGCAGGGCCGAACCATGGACCGTAGCCTTCCAAATTCTAGTCTTATCATCCCTCCAGGCTCAGTCCCAATATTCTCATCCGCCAACGCCATAATCCTAGTGCCACTCTACGAGGGAGTTGTTGTGCCCTTCCTGCGAAAGCGCACAGGCCACAAACGCGGAATCACATCCCTGCAGCGCATGGGCGTGGGCCTCTTTCTCTCCATATTTGCACTATTGTCAGCTGCAGTAATCGAGAAGAAGCGTGTACAGAATGCAATCGAGGAGGGGATAGTGGACAGCAGGTTGAAGACTTCGACCATGAGCGTATTCTGGTTGCTGCCACAGTTTTTCCTCTTAGGGAGCGCCGAGGTGTTCACATACGTGGGGCAGCTCGAGTTCTTCTATGATGAGGCCACCGATGGCACCCGTAGCCTCAGTAGCGCTCTGTTCTTGAGTGAGTTCGGCATTGGAAGCTGGCTTAGCACAGCGCTCGTGACTATAATCCAGAGGTGTACTGGAGGGGAGAAAAGTGGGTGGTTTAGGAACAACCTGAATGCAAGCAGGCTGGATCTCTTCTACTGGGTGTTGGCTGGCATCAATGTGGTGAATTTTGTAGTCTATGTTGTTGTGGCTTTGCGGTACAAGGGGACCAATGTTGATAGTAGTAGAAGCGTGGTAGATGAGAGTATTATGTTTCCCAAAGAAAGCAAAGTGAAGGATGAGGATGAAAAGGAAATGAAAGCAGTAATCTGATTACTTACCCAAAAAAAAATAGCTATAATCTGATTCAATTAATTTTTTGAATGCAAGCCATGATTTTGTTGAAGATTTGGGTTTTAGACCATATAAAAGGTTTGCAGCTATGAACCAGTCTAGAAAAGCACGATTTTGTCCTGGAACCCGCCCTTAGGCCGGGCCGAGTAACTCAAGCCAAGTCCGAGTAACTTGGCCAGAGTTTGGCAGGTCCTTGTCAGGCCAAAAAGTGATACAAAACAATCCTGAAAAATATGAAAAATATGTTTAAAGGGAAAAACATATTTTGAAAAAAATAAATTTGTAATCAGGGGTATATAGAAATAATCCAAAAAAAAGGGAAAATGTAAAAATAATTATTCGTGGCCAAAGCACTTGCCTATATTTGTCAAAATGGTAGAAAATATAAAAAAAAAAATATATTACAAATAAATTTCTTATTTTTTGGACTTTTTATAGTTTTTTTGCAATTTTTATTTTAAGATTTCCAGCTTGACAACCAAACTCAGGATACTCGGGCAAGTAGGCAAACACTAGTGCCATTGGGGGGCTTGAATGGGATAGGGTCGGATCAACGACTCAAACCTGACATGGGTCATGTTATCTTATGTTATAATATGATAATTATATTATAGTTACTGTAATATAATAATATAATAATCTTAAAATTTCCAAAAAAAAAAAAAGAGAGAAAAGAAACTTTTAATAACTAATGGTCCATATGAGTATGATGGTTCTTAAGGACCAACTATTTTCAAAAGCTTTTGCTTTAAGCTTTTCCTCACCTTTGCCGCGTCCTTCAGTGGACGTGGGCTTTAAGCGTATACAAAGTAATATAACTGTTACACCTCAGGTGTAACTTAATAAAAGAATATTATAAGGTGTTGCAAGAATTTAAATAGAAGAAGTGAAGATTCCCACCCTAGAAAATTTTGAGATCTATTTCTAGTCAAAATGCAGTGAGCTCTTTCTCTCTCTAGCCGAATTTTTATCAGAAGCTCTTTCTCAAATATTTTAAGTAAGTGACTTCATTATCTTAAAAAATAATATGTTCTTTTTAAAAATGAAATGAAATAATTACTTCTGCTTATTATCATGAATTTTAGGCGCGATAAATTTTATGCGCAAGCGACCTCTTTATTTTGAAAAATAATATTTTTAATAAAATTGTGATATTGTATCTTTGTTATAAATTTTAAATGCTGTAAATTCTTAGAAATAAATTTATTTATTTTTCTTGTATATTGTTAGAAAATTTTAGATATTGTAAAATTATTAGAAATAAATGTGATAGTTCTGCTTTTACTAAAATTGTGAGATTTCTTTCTACTATTTTTGAATATTTAGACATTGTAAAATTCATGCGCAAATGGCCACCTTATTATCTAAAAACTGATATTTTTGCAATTGATTATAGCATTGTCTGTGAAATGTTTATTTGTGAATTGACATCCTATAAATTGTGATAATTCCATATTCTTGAATTTCTACAAGAGTTTTTCTATACATTGGCCATTATGCTAGAATGTCTTTACGAACTGCTATCTTTCTAAATTTGAGTCCAAAATATTTGATTGGTTATTTTTGAAATGTTATTGAAAGCGACTGTTATTAATGGTATCAGTGAAATTCATATTAGTGATTTCAGTGATATGTTGAGTACATGATATTGCTGCTTTCGGATGTTTAAAGAAATTTAGAAATACTTTAAGTATGTAAGTGGACTCATCCGGTTCGCCGGTGAGGTATAAGTGGACCTATCTGGGACACCGGTAGGGATTAAGTTGACTTATCCGGTACGCCGGTGAGATATAAGTGGATTTGTAGGGATTAAGTGGACCTATCTAGGACGCCGATAGGGATTACGTGGACTCATCAGGATGCTGATGGGGTATATAGGTGACCTACTTGGGACGCCAGTAGGATATTTTGTGAAATCCTTTGAATTATGCACTGCCGTTAAAGTGTTATATGCATTTCAATTATTCGGATTATACTTAATTATTCATTTATTGAAAGTGAAACTGTTGATGCATTTCTGTTAATAGATCTCCTTTTTGAAAATATTTATATCTTTCAACCATGATTATTTTTAGGATTATGATGATCACTTACTGAGTAGCCAAGCTCATCAAACTATGGTAAACATTTTTTTCCAAGATAAATACGGATTCATTTTGAGTGCTAGTCAAGATCAACCTTGAAAGATATTGTTGTTATGCTAACTTTCTTTTGCTATCTTGTAAGAATTCGCCACTGTAAATTTGTCCTATCAAGAAATATATATATGTTTTGACTGTCACATCTCAGGAATATCAGTATTGTAAATTCTTGGGGTGTGACAATTATGGTATCAGAGCAATAGGTTTACGATTCTTAGGAAATTTAAAAAGAATGTACTTAAAATAATATTTATTGCGTGTATAGACCGGGACAAAGTCAAGATCCAGAATAGCTGAAGCTATTATGGAAGGAATTCACAAAGCGATGGAAAATATGGTTGCTCTAATGCAACATCAGATGGAAAACAACAATCCACCCAGGCAGTCAGTTATGATAAATGGTGGGAGTGATATCGAACAATTTAAGAAATTGAACCCACCTTCTTTTAAGGGTGTTTTAAACCCATTGGAAGCCAAATGGTGGATTATGCAATTGAAATAAATATTTGAGGTAATGGAATGTCCTGATGATAGAAAGGTGCCCTTGGCAGTTTTTATGTTAGAAGGAGAAGCACAACATTATTGGCGAATGGCAAAAGGAGTATTGGCCAAAGAAAATAAACCCTTGACTTGGGAAGTATTTATAGAGGCATTTAATGAAAAGTATTTCCCACTTTTATTCGAGACCAAAAAGAAATAGAATTTCTGGAATTAATCCAAAGAAACCGGACAGTAGCACAGTACGAGGCCAAGTTCACTGAATTGGCCAGGTTTGCACCACATATGATTAATAATGAGGCAAGAAAGGTGAAGAAATTTGAAAGGGGTCTCAGACCTGCTATTAGAAGCAGAATATCACTCTTAAAATTGAGAACTTATGCTGAAATAGTAGATCGAGCCCTAACTGTTGAAAAAGATTTCGAAGATTACAAAAAGACGAAAAATCAGAAAAGCCATGTTAGACCCACACCACCTAATCGATAACAGTTTGAAAGGGCAAACAAGAAGCCAAGGCCCTTGCCACTTCACAGCCCAATAGAACCATTTAAGAAATATGAAAAAAACCATGGATCCAGTCCTTGTTATTGGAATACCGGAGCTTGTTTTAAATGTGGAAAATTGGGGCACCAGGTTAGACAATGTCCTAGCTTACAGATGCAACAGCTTCAAAAGCCGGGAGAGCTAGCTCAAAAGCCTCAGATGAAGGAAAGAGTATTTGCGATCACCGAGCAAGATGCTCAGGCCTCAAAATCAGTGATCCATCTTATTATCTTCCAAAAAGTAGCTCGATTGATCCTGGATCTACTCATTCATTTGTATCACCACATTTTGCATACCACTTAAAGGTTGAACCAAAACAATTAGAATACATTCTAGAGGTAGCCACATCGATAGGAAATTCAATTGACATAAATATAGTGTATAAATCATGTATAATAAAGATAGAAGAAAAGGAACTGTTGGTTGATTTAATACTCCTAGAAATTCAAGATTTTGATGTAATTTTAGGCATGGATTGGCTTCCTGCATATCATGCAAGTATTGATTGTTACAAGAAAATGGTTACCTTTAGTATTCCGAATCAACCAGTATTTTACTTCAATGGTATCAAAGAAGACTCCCCATCATATTTAATCTCCTATATTCGAGCTAATCGCCTGCTTCGAAAAGGGAGTCAAGTCTTTTTTGCCTATATCAAATAAGATAAGAAGGAAGAGATAAACTTGGATACCACTCCGGTTGTCCGAGAATTTCTCGACGTTTTTCCGAAAGAATTGCCAAGCTTATCGCCTGACAGGGAAATTGAATTCTCTATTGAATTATTGTCAGGGGTAGCCCCAATTTCTAAGGCACCTTATAGAATGGCACCTGCAGAACTTAAGGAATTGAAATAATAACTGGAAGAATTATTAGATAAAGGTTTTATCAGGCCCAGTATGTCACTTTAGGGTGCTCCGGTATTGTTTGTTAAAAAGAAAGATGGGCCTACGAGATTGTGTATCGATTATAGACGGTTGACCCAAGTGACCGTAAAAATAAGTATCTATTACCTAGAATTGATGATTTATTTGAGTGTTTTAAAAAATTAATCTTAGATCTGGATACCATCAGCTTAAGATTAAAAGTGAAGATATTCCTAAGACAGCTTTCAGAACAAGGTATGACCATTATGAATTTTTAGTCATGCCTTTTGGATTAACCAATGCACCTGCTGCATTTATGAATTTGATGAATCGGGTCTTTAAGCTTTTTTTGGATAAATTTATTGTAGTATTTATTGATGATATTTTAATTTATTCCAAGAATCAAAAGGAATATGAGCAGCATGTAAGAATGGTATTGCAAATATTAAGAGAGAAGAAATTGTATGCCAAACTTAGTAAATGTGAATTTTGGCTTGAACAAGTGACATTTTTAGTACATGTCATATCAAATGGAGGTCTATTAGTTTATCCTTCAAAGGTTGAAGCGTTGTTAATTGGAAACAACCAAGAAATGTGACTGAAGTTCGAAACTTTTTGGGATTGGCAGGATATTATAGAAAGTTTGTAGAAGGATTTTCTCGAATCG